GTTTTACAATAAAAAATATATTCACTAAATACGTATTTTTTATTTTGTTCCACTCAAAAATATTTGTGTATTTTTTTGTCCAGCATTTGTTTTTTTTTTTATTTTTATTTTCTGGTAAAAAAATCTATAAGTATTAGTTAGTATTAATATTAAAAAGTATTGTAAGATATTTATGTAACGATACATAATTTTTTTATAAAAAAAGGTTGAGAAAAATCTTAATTATTATACTAGTTATACAAAAGTTATCTATTAATTAACTTAAATCTAATAAAAACAGTTTTAAACATATAATGTAGCAGGAGTGATTGTACTACATAATATGAAATTATGTACTTGTAGCATTTTTGTAATTACTAATAGATGTTGCACAATGAAGTGATTGACACTTGTCAAGTGAGTGTGTATATTGGGAAGAAAAATACAACATTTAACTTTAAATTTCATTTTATTTGCATACTTACAAGTGTTTTGATTTTAATTGCAAGTATACTAATTTTCACAATTAGTAAATGTTGATTATATAAAATTTAATTTTGAATAGCCACAAAGTTTTTTACAAAATGTATGAAATTAATAAAAGTGCATTTCTAAAAAGAACTTAGCAGAGCTTGAGCTTAGGGTGCTCGAGTTCGAGCTCGAACCGAGCCAAGTTGAGCTTGATAAGTAAACGAGCCAAACATCGAGCTCGACTCGTATATCACTATTAACGTGCTAAGTTCGAACCTTACTTAACCGATCTCGAGTTTAAGGAATTAAATTATAAAAAATTAAATTAAAAGTTTCTTTTCGAGTTTTAACGACCTTATCAATTTGTGCTAATCAAACGAGCCTTAAATGAGTTCGAGCTCGGCATTAAGGATTTGGAGCTCGAGCCAAACTCGAATTTTAACGAGTTGAGTCGAGCTAGATTCATATCACTAGGAGTAAGTGATCAATCATGATTTCCACTTTGGGCCCAACTCCATTTATTGGGCCAAAAGATTTGGTCATCCATATATTGGAAAAATTAACAACTAAACTAAACAAACGACCCAATGGAGC